CCGCCCGCTCCATGGGCAGCGCCGAGATCTCGCGGGAGCGCCCGCCGACGCTGTCCAGGGTCCTGATGCCGCCGGCCGGAGGGGCGGGGCCAAGGGGAAGGGGCGGGGCCAAGGGGGCTCTGTAGGGGTGCGGGCTCCGTGGGACGGGGTTGCATTGACCCCTACTTGGTGCATGGAGAGCTCCACGGGGGTACAAGACCACCCTCTGTGGGGCAGGGGCTCTGGGGGACAGCCCCTGGCGGCGCATGCAGGCTCCCTGTACCCAGGGGGCAATGGAAAGCCAGCAGGAGGCCGGATTTGGGTGACCTCATGTCCACGTCCTGCTTCACATCCTTGTGCTTCACTCTGGGAGCAGTAATTAATTATTGGCTTGCGTGAAGGGCAGTGGATATGTTGATTGCTTTTGCTGGACTAGGACAGGGATCAAAAACTCCTAAAGGGGAAATAAATCCCGAATCAGCCTGAGGACTCCACGGGCAGTGTCCCTTGTCCTCAGTGTCATGACACAGAACTCTGTGCACACCACTTGGACCTCCTGCCTCAGTGCTTGTGAGAATATCAGCTCAGTGTCATGAAAATGGCTTTATTTGAAACTAAATTGTCCTCCCTTCCCAGGGTCCAATCTCAAGGGTCACAGATGGGCAATAAAGACAACATCCCACTACAGGAAGATGTGAAGAGTGGGGCAAGGAAGCAGCAAAATCTCTTTACACCAGGGAGCCCTGGTTGCCAAACACCCTCAGCAAGAGAACGGCATTGCTGTGGAGATGCAAGGAAGGAAATCTGGCAGAAACAGGGAAAATGCCTGCTTCACAGACGGTAAAATGGAGGGAAGCGGGAAAACCAGTGTGCCACAGATGACCTCATAGCAGGGGGCCCAGCTGTCCACTCTGAACTCCTTCTGGGTCTTGGACCCTGAGCTATTCCCTGCAGAGAGTGGGGACCCCCATGCATCCAGCTCCATGTCCTGCCTGGCAGCAGGGAAGGAAAGGGAGAAGGGGATGGGGTCATGGATCCCCACTCTCGCCAAGCACCACTACTCACCCACGTGTGAGACCTCACGGGGGTGCTCCAAGCCTTCCAGAGCCACCCTGGCTGAGCACCCTGGGAATTTGGGGCTTCTTTCTTGTCCCTTATTTCCTGTTTCTTGATCTTTCTCTCACCTAAATTCCCTCCTCCCCTGCTTCTCTGCTGCCTCAGGCCCCCCAGTGCCTTTCCATCCCATTGAGGCTTTGGGAATGTGCAGCTGCAGAGCTGCTCCTTGCCCTCAGCATCATCACATTCCTGTCTGCCCACGGGTTTTCCAAGTGGGGATATTCAGGATTCAAATAGATGTGTGCTCCCCTCGCTCACAGGTGAGCCAAGGGGATAACAGAGGGGCAGGGGAAGAGCCTCCCTGCTCATCCCACACTACCTGAGCAGGGCAGGTGGGAAGGATCCAACCAAGAGTCTGGATCAAGCAGTAAATTCCTAGCAAGTAAACAGATTCAAAGCCACTGAAGTCAATCCACGGGTCCAGTCTAGGGTCAGTCTGTGGGTCAGAGTCCAGCAGACCAGCTGCAGCTGACCCAGAAACCAGGCCCAACTCAGCTCAGACTAGGACTGAGACCCCTGGGTTGAGCTTAAATAGAGTTTCTGTGCCACAGGCAGGATGTGGGTGGGAGTCCTCGATGCGGCTGGTCGGGACCATTCACGTTTATTAATGCTCTCAGGGTCCTTATGACATTTCTCTGCTCATCATGCTGTAGCTCTGCAAAGGGATTTGTCTTATAAAAGGGATTTTCCCCTTTTCTTTTACTGTCTGGCTCTTAAAAATGAGAATTATCCTGAGCTCTGTAATTTTCTGCTTACTATAGGGATAAGGGCTCAGTTAGCAGGGAGCTGGTGCCACATTAGGACGCTCCAAAGGTTCCCCTAGCACCTTGAGACAGCCCCTGCACCCTGGGAAGACTGGAGTGCACCCTCAGGGGGCTGCTCCTGCGAAACAGCAGCTCCAGGATACTGGTTAGGACTGGGGCAGGGGATCCCTTTAACTGTGATATCTCGGGGGTCCATCTGTACCCCCTTTCCCAGGGTTACAATCAGCTCTGGCATCAGCCTGCTGCTGAGTGCAACGTGATGAGAGGCTGAGACCTGAGCTGGGCAGATATGACGCAGAGATGGACGGTGGCACTGAGACTTTCCTTGTATCAGATGCTTCCACTTTCCATCCTGCTCCTGTGCAGGGCCATGTTGGATGAAAGAAAATATAGAGAGGGCAGGCGGAGGACAGGGGCTCGGGTTACTGTTCCTCTCCAGCTGCCCTGATCTCCATCAGGAATATGTTTCTGGGGTGTTTTTCCCACTTTTCCAGGTTTTGACAAGTCTCTATGCTGTCTCCTGCAGCCTTCTTCATCCCTGCCGCCACCAGCTCCCTTCTTGGCTCCTCTCCCAAACAGCCCTTACAAGCTCACACCTCCTGTGGGTTGAGAGCAGGCAAGAGGGTGCTGCAGGGATTTGGACCCCTCCTGGGATGGGGTTGGGAGGGCACTGGAATGCAGGATGCTCAGAGAGAAACTGTAATGGGGAAAGGGAGGAAGAAACCACTCCTTGGGTCCTGCAGTGACCAGCGTGGCTGCTTAGGAAGGACAGATGGACAGTACTCAGGATGTAATTCCTTTACTCCTATTTTTTTTCACCATTCCTGCCTTTTCTGTTTGCCTCTTCTCCATTTTAAAGGACTCCCCATCCTCTTTCCCAGCTGTTTTCCCTGATCCCCTGTGGCTGGAGTTGTCTGTGCCTTTGTCCCCCTCTCCCTGCTTTTCCTCTCCCACCCCACTGAGCTTATTTCAGCTATTCCTTCACTTGGAATAATCCATTCACTCTGTTGTCCTCCAACAAATAAGCTGACAGGCTAATGAATGGCTTCAGATGGTAATTAGCAATGGAGTTGCTAATAATGAATTTCATTTACATTTTAAGCGCTGCAGAGGAAAAATAAGAGCCTGTCATTAATGTGGTGCAGCCATGGCCTTGGGGGGAGCGTACCCTCCTGAAGCCTTTTTGTGACTGCACCTCACCTGCCTCCGTTTTGGAGGCTGCGATCAGCAGAGTTCAGTAAGCAGCAGCTAGAGGCTGTAGACAAAAAGCTGCTGCTGCTTCCATCATCTGATGGTGGGGAAGGAGCCATGAGGCCATAGAAAATGGGCCATGGGAGGCAGGAGATGGTTCTGGGCCAGGAAAGAAGGGCTGGATGGTTCAGTGAGCATCAGGGTTTCATCTGGCTTGGCCAGAGCCCTGGAGCTGTCAGCCCTCAGTGTCCATGTAACCCTCCCAGGTTACCTGGATAATTACCTTGAGGGATATCCCAGTCACTGGGACATTATTTTCCCAGGGGTTTAGCATCTTTTGAAGGCAGCAATTTCCCTGAGGGCTTTAATCTATCCCTCCCTGCCTGAGGAAGGAACCAAGTGCCATCTGCAAGGATGCCATAAAGAGTTGCCAAGCGGAAAGGGGGGAAAATGCCGTTGTTTTGTCTCACAGGAGCATGGTGGAAGCACAGGGAATAGGCATGCTCACTACTGCAGAGCACCAGAGAGGACTTGGGGATGTTTAAAGCCTGGGTCTGGGGATGCTCAAAGCCTGGATCTGGTGCTGGGGGTGGGCCTGGGAGCATTGTCTGCCCTGCCTCAGTTTCCCTCTTTGTGCCCAAAGGGCCTCAGGGACAAGATGCTCTGCATTCCCCAGCATGTTCCAGCACACTGCTCATAGATCCCATCCCATCCCACTGCCTGCAGATCACCCCCTGACCCCAATCCAGTGATTGGATCAGGGGGTGTCCCATATCCACCACCATTTAGGCAGTGATACCCACAGAAAGCTGCTTTGGGAACCACAGGGATGTGAGATTCATCCTGGATGGGTGGTGATGGCCACATCCTGCCATCACCTCCACAGGCATGGGATCGATTGATTTATTTATGTATATTTTTCAAGCCCTGCTCTGAGTGAAACCAATCCAGGGGCCTGCATAGGCCGATAAGATTTGACTGCAAGTCAATACTCGGCATGTCTTTCCACTGTGCAATGATCCCCCGGCCAGTAGGGTGGGAGGGGACAGGCAGGTGACAGGGCCGGGCAAAGGGCCAGCCTGGGGCAGGGACACTGCCACTCCCTGGGAAGGGATTGGGGGCAGGAAGAGGACACCTCCTGGCCTGCAATAGGGATCCTCCGGGATTTACTGACAGTAAAAGTATTGGTGAGCCCACAGCTGGCAGCTTCACACTGGGGATGTGGAGATGGCGAGGCTCAGGGACTGAGAGAGCAGCAGAGAGAGGAAGGAAAGGAGAAGGAGGGGGAGAGAGAGAGAGAAATCACCCATGAAAACCAGCTCTGCCACAGCATCTGCTCCTCAGACCTTTGGGAATTGAGACATCTTCCTGCAGGGCAGAGTGAGGGGTGAGGATGTGGGGTGTCGGCGTCGGGGCGGGGGGGGGGGAGCGGAGCCCTGGCACACTTGATGCATGCCTGGCTGCAGTGCCATCTGCCCGGCTTTTTCCTGGCTGCAGGTCCTAGTAGCTTCTCTGATGGCTAATAAGGGTTGAGCTCAGGCTCCAAAGTACTTCACACAGTACCTGCTGCATCTTTGTGCCATGCCTGAGCACAGCATGGCCGGGATTCCCCATCCTTCTGGGAATGCTGCAGGGCAGGCAGGCAGGGTGACTTTTGCTGTTAGCAGTGGGTGTCCTTAAGAGGAGCAAGCGCAGAGAGAAGGGACCAGGTTCTCTTTAAGGGGGCAGGACTTTGGGAGCATCATGAAGGCAAGAGTGAGTTTCTGCCTCTGCCTTCCACCTTACTCTCCTTCTTTTCCCTTCTCTTCCCTGTTTTTGGACAGGGAGCTGGGTTCCCTGCTCTCCCCTTTGCCTGTCAGGTATGAAGGCAGGAGCTGGGTGCTGGGATGGGTGGCTGAGCAGGGGAGGAGGAGGAGGAGGGGAGGAAGGGGAGGGAGAAGGGGAGGATCTGCTAATTACACAGAACAGCTCTGGGGGCTGCTGAAGTCCAGAATGAAGCAAAGAGCAGCAGAAGCGAGTGCTGCAGTGGGAGCGGAGGAGCCCAAGCATCATCGAGAGCTGGAGCCAGCTGTCCTCCCTGCTGGGAGCAACTGGGAGCACCCAGAGGATCCTGCAGCCCTGTCTCTCACAGAGGACAGCTTCTGGCACAGCCACTGAGCCTGCTACCAGCCCCCGGAGAGCAGAGGGGAAGGGGCTGGTGCTTGTGGGGATGCAGGGCTGGGCTGGAGGGCAGTGAGGTCAGCCCTGCCATGGTTCCACGGTGCTGGGAGCCTGTGTGGATCCACCGGTAAGGGGTGAAGGATGGCTGCTGAAGGAGGGAGAGCCAAGCCCGCTGCTCAGTCCGGGATGGAGAACTTCCGAAAGGTGAGGACGTCGGAGGAAGAGGTGCCATTGCCTTTTCCCGATCTGTCCCCTGACGTGGTGGAGATGAAAGTGAAGGAGGGCAGCAAGATCAGGAACCTGATGAACTTCGCCATGGCCCAGATGGAGCTGAAGGGCAGCCGGCAGATCATCTTCAGTGGCAGCGGCAGGGCGGTCACCAAGACCATCACCTGCGTGGAGATCATGAAACGCAAGCTGGGAGGGCTCCACCAGGTCACCAAGGTACGCTACAAAACCGTGCTGGAGGTCTGGGAGAACCAGGACCTGCTGCCCAACAGCCCAGCGCAGAACCTGACCGTCCACAAAAATGTCCCCTCCATCTGCATCCTGCTTTCCCGAGACCCCCTGGATCCCAACCAAACAGGCTACCAACCCCCGGAGCCCCAGCACGGGCTCGGTGAGGCAGGAGAAGATGCATTGGGATCCTCCACTAAGGGGCTGAAGCGGACACTGCCACCTCCCCGTGAGGAGCTGCTGCCCAAGAAGCTGCAGGTACAGGTGCCTGACAGTCCGAGGGGCTCAGGGACCACCGCTGGCCAGCTGGACCACTGACCACAGTGCTTCCCACCTCGATCAGACAGGCAGAAATATACACTCGTTCTGGGGTCACCAGTGGGCTCTCCCTGCAGGCTCTCCCTGACGTGTCCCCACTTGCTGCTGCTGCTCCATCTGATCCCCACAGATGGGAGGTCTCCAGATTTGGGGTGAGGGTTAAAGTGTTAAACCCACCAGCTCCTGGTTATGGATTGAAGCAGGGGAGGGGGTGGGGGGGAGCTAGTGACTCCTAATTCAGCCACTGAGAGGGCACCACGACCACCAGCCACATCTTGCACAACTCCCACAGAGTCAGAGCATCCAAGGGGTGCCTGGAGCGACACCAACACCGCTCCCCACTGCAATGCCTCATTCGTCAGGAGAGATGGTTTTGCCTCAAGCCTATGGAAATAAAACTTTCATTACCAAACCTGCTGCTGAGGAGCTGTCAGGGTTATTAATGCTGGGCTCAGTGTCCTGTGGGGCCATGATTCATCCCAAAAAAACACCCAAACAAGCAGGGGGTCGCTCCCTCCCTGTGCCTGCAGAGCCAAGTGCTGTGCTGTGCTTTTCTGTGCTGTGCTTTTCTGTGCTGTGCTGTGCCGTGCTGTGCTGCCTGTAGGACAGCACAAGGAAATAAAGCAACCTGCATTGCATATTCCAGTCTTTGCTCTCCTGGAGGGTCTGGAGCTGGGGAGCTGGGGAGCTGGGGACAATGGGGGTGTTGGGTGGGTGGTTGTCATGGCTGGATGCAGTGCCTAGGGCAGAATAGGAAGGTTTTGGGATAGTGGCTTGGCTGCAGAACCTGGGAAAGTCCTTGGAAATTAAATCCCTGCTTCTTCCAGGAGGCAAAGGGAAATGAATGGAAAATAAAAGCTCTTAGAAATAGCTGAGATATGTCTCTGAGAAAACAGGAGGATCATCTTGGCTGCTGACCACAGCATGGATCAGCACAGTGAGGGCTGCTGCTGAGCCAGGACAAGGGGAACCCAACCAAATCCTGTTCCTTGGAAGAATGGGATCAGGGTCTACTGTGTGCCCTAGTCTGTGCCAGCATGTCCCCATTCCAGACCCCACAGCAGGGACCAGGGCTATTTGGGGAATAGGTTATAGGATGCCAAACAAGCTCTAATCCACGTGGTTCCCCTCGGCCCAGCAGCTGGGGACACTGCACGATGAATTAATTGGTATTAGTGAGTGAAACCTTCCCAAAACCCATCTGTGGGGAAAGCTACGGCAGACGCTGCCTTATCTCCCTGCCTCACTCCCGCTATCTTGGGAGAGTGAGCATTCCTTCTTTGTCAAGGGCCTGCTTTGCTGGGAATAGGAATGAAAGAAGAGCAGGAGAAGGAGGAGGAGGGAGAAGAAGGGGTTTGTTTTGTTTGGCGATGACCTTGCTATCTCCCTCAGCAGGCAGCTGCTCCTTGGGCCAGAGGCTCTTGCTTATCTGCTCTGCTGCAGATTGATTCCCTTCACTTGAACATTTATTTCCAATTTATTTTTTTAAGGATTATTTTTTGAGATTTGGGGGCTGGGAAAGCTTTGGGCTCTGTCCCATCCAGCTCTTCCCAGCTCCTCTCTTCAGTGCGGACCCCATCCAGGTTCAACCCTCCGCCCCACACGAGAGCACCAGGTACAGGCTCCTGCTCCAAATGCACATGAAATCATTAATAAAATTAATTAATAAACTCCTCAGATCAGAGCCTAAACACTGTGGGAGCCATAAAGATGAGCATTAACAGCCCTTCATCTCCACTGCTGCTGCCTCAATTGGTCCCACAAAGGAGAGAGGAGAAAAAATTCAAATTCACTAGTTTCTCTTTATTTTGTTCCTGAGCAAGATTATTTTATTTGATTTTAAAAGCAGGTAGTTTCCAGTCTTGGAAGCAACACTTGGAGACCACCCCTGGAATTTTGCACGCCTCACTTTGCTGACTGTGGACTGAGGTTTTCCTGCATGAGAACATTAAAAAACAGTAATAAAATATGACTGTAACCCAAAATTTGGAACACTTAAAACAGGATGATGATACTGGGGGACACTGTGAGTGGAATTATGATGATAGTTTTGTGTGGCACTGCTGAAGCACTGCCCCAGGGACGATTTTTGGGGTGATTTTGTGCCCACACACGGGCCGAAGCAGTGGCCGGTGCAGTGCGATGGTAGCTGCGGGCAGCACCCCCACGGTGTGGGGACGAGGACACAATCATGAGTGCCAGAGAGCCTGGGGAACTGCTGGATGCGGCAGCAGAGACGGACTGAGCCCATTCCCCTCACACGGATGGAGTCGGGCGGGTGGGTGTCTACTGACAGAGACGGGGAGACTGTACTGAGCCGTGGATGCCCGGGCTCGACTAAAAGGCAGCAGTAGCAGCCCAAACCTCCCCACAAACTAACCTCAACCTCTCAAAAACAACTCTTAAACACCCCCTTGAGGGGTGGCTCGACGAGGCTGGAGAGCTCCCCCGGCCACTCCCCTCACGCACAAAATGGCGGCCGGCCCCGCCCCGAGATGGCGGCGGGTCCCGCCCCGCCGCGCCCCCAGCCCATCGCCGCGGCCTCCGGCGCTCCGTACCCGCCGCACGGCTGTACCCGCCTCCGCCGGCCTCCCCCTTCCCTCATCTCCGTCCTTCTCTCCCGGTGCGGTGCGGAAGCCAGCGGCGTGCCCCCGGTGCAGCCTCCCGCCCTCCCTCGCACCCTGCCGCCATGCTGGCCGCCACCGCCTCTCTCCTCCGCCGCTGCGCCGTCTCCGGCCTTCGCACCGCCGTCCATCGGCCCGCCGGCCCCGCAGGTGAGCGGCCGCACGTGTCCGTCTCTCCCGCCGCGGTTCGCCCTCGGAATCGTGGCCCGGCGGGGCGTGAGGCGGCGGAGCCCGGCGTGTCCTTGCGGTGACCCCGCGGCCTAGCGCGGGCCGCCCCCGCCTGTCCTGCCGCAGCCACCGGCACCCTCCTGCCGGTACCGCCTCACACGGGGCCCAGGCACCTCCCCGGGGGCTTCAGCGGGGGGCGGTGGCGGCGCTTTCCCCGCGCCCCCTCCCAAGGTGACATTGGTGAAGGGCGGCAGTGACCTCCGCAGCACCAGGGCGCTGACCGCCCCCGGGCCCCCCCTCCATCTCCGGGCCAGCCCTCAACCGCTCTGAACACCCCGATGAATTGTAATATTAACACCTTATTAACACACCAGTTAACAGGGAGAGGAGGAATAGCAGCCGCAGACAGTACGGTGTGATGGTGGCCAGGGCGGCAGAACTGGAATATGGAGACTGCGGAGAGCACAGGATGCGTGTGCATCGCAATTAATAGCTAATTAACCTCTACATTCCAATTAACAGCTAATTAGCAGGCACTAATAATGCGTGGGGACCTGTGTGTGCCTCTGCTGCGGCACGTGCGAGTTAAACAGCTGCCTTAAGGGAGCGTGTTGCTGCGCTTCACTAATAATAAGCACAGGGGTTTCTTAGACGCTTCTTAAAACCATTGTTTTTTTGGTTATTTTTAAATCCGCTAAAAATCTTTGCTCGCTGTTCCTTTGTGGTGCTGAACCCCGTCTGCTCGTGGCCCTCCCCGTTCTTCTTTCCCAAGGTCTTGTGTTACAAACACCCCACTTAACACTGCTGTGACCCCTTCGCCTTCAGGGTGGCCTCGGGGGGGTTGTGTTGCTGCAAAACGTTTCCCTGAGTAATCCCTGGGCCTCCTCACTGCCAAATTTTCAGTAAATTGACGTTTTTCTTAATACGTGTTTTTCTTCTGTGCTCGTTAACAGGGAAAACTGACCAATTCGGGCCCTTGGGGAGAAGGTTTAACATGTTTTTGTGTAATATTAGGTGATTTTGGGCTTCTTAGGCTCTTGGTGCCTGTGGTACGTGCCCTTTGCTTCTTCCTTGAGCTGGGAATCTCCGCATGGATAGGTTGGCGTGGTTTGGCTGTCACACACACATGATTGGTGTGACAGTGACCTTGATGGACCCCACTGAAATTCGAGGCAGAGTGAATCTCAGAGCCCAGTCCCCAATATATAAACATTAATATGGAAAACACAGGGTGGAAAAGAAATGTAGCGGCAGCTGAAAAATGCACTCTGGAAATCTAGAGTTCTAATTTTTATGGTCTTTATTTTCGTTCAGGATCCAGGCAATAGTTTTGTTAAGGAAAGACTTGCGTTTTTAGACTTAAAGGTGGCATTTGAGCACTTCAATTTAGGCTTTTCTCAAACTGTGATTGACTGCTTCTCTGTAGGATTTTCTTTCTGTTTAGGAAAAACGAGGCTTCTCCCCCAAACAGCTGAAATCTGGGGCTTTTTCAGCAGTGTCCTGTGTGCAGGAGCATTTACAGAGCTATGCTCTTGCTCTGAGCTCAGCTGTGCAGGTGATTTATTGGAGAAAGCAGGGTCAAAGGTCTGTTTTGGAGTTGGGGAGAGGAGGGAGAATTTCCCTACAGAATGACAAAAGATGATTATAATTCCAGCTTGGCCTGTTATTTACTTTTCCCTAGCTAAAAGAAATAAAACTATTTTCATGCTTTCATTGCATAAATCAGAGCTGCGTCTGAAATGTTGGACCATGTTAAATTTTGTTAAAAAACCCAAAATTAACTTCTTAGAAGTCTGTCATTAGTGAGGCTGAAGAGAAGGATACCAGCAAAAATACAACCCAGTGCTGGGGTTTCTTCTTTTAAATAAAACTCTGTGGCTGGTCAGCACAAGTGGTTCATGCTGGGCTAAGAAAGAAAAAGTCAGGAGCTAAATTTGACTTCCCTAAAGTGGAGCTTTGAGCTCCAAGGTCGTGTCTGGTGTGCGACCTCTGCAAATATTAGTGGAGTGAGATTAGCAGTGGGGAAAGGAAGCACCAGGCTTGTGTTCCGTGTTCCTTTAGTTAAGTTCCTTTGAAAAACTATTCCAACCTTTGTGCAGTAAAATAAGACAGTTTCATCAAAGAGCCCCCCAATTTGTGACAGAGTAGTGCTGAGGGAAGAAATTAATTCATAAATCATGTCAGACTAATTTGTACATTGGAGTACAATCTGCTTTTGTGATTAATTATCAAATATTAATGCATTTACAACTTTGAGATCAGGGAGTTTTATCTTGGATAGACATAGAGCAATCATTTTTTTTTCCTCCTTAAACCCTTCAACAGCCTGTTGGCAGAAGTATTTCTCATCCCTCTGCTTTTGAGAGCCTTTGTAGTTGGACTCATGGAGTTTTGGTGATGAATGATGTTATGTTTCTCCAGCTCGGCTCTGGGGAGAGGGAGAATTCCTGTATCTTACAGATAGAAGGATGCCAGAAAACCTCTCTTAAGGATTGGTTGTCCAGAGTTTGTTTTCTTGTGTTTCCCCGTGCTCTTTAAATAATCCTGCTCTGACCAAAGGCTCTGGGGACACTTTGATGTGACAAAAAATAGACACTTTGCCAAAAACCGAAGCACAGTATTTAATGGCTGTATCCATCCACTGCTTATCCAGGACTGATCCAGACTGACTGTAGCAAGTGAAATCCATATTTTATGGCTTCTGACCTCTTGGTAAGGACTAAAGTACTGTTATTTTCCTTTTACTCCAAGTTTCTTCCTTTTTTTTTTTTGGATCCAGCTGTGCTGCATGCCCGCTGCTACTCTCACGGGTCACAAGAGTCAGATGAAGAATTTGATGCTCGCTGGGTGACGTATTTCAACAAGCCAGATATCGATGCCTGGGAGCTCAGGAAAGGTATGCTGGGGAAAATGGAAGAGTAAATGTGAGTTTGGTGACCAGAAATAACAACTGCACTTGGCATTTTGTGGACTCCCCATCCCTGGAAGTGTCCAAGGCCGGGTTGGATGGGGCTTGTAGTGACCTGGTCCGGTGGAAGGTGGGTGGGCTAGGTGACATTTGAGGTTCCTTCCAACCCAAACCATTCCATGAATTAAACACTTGGATGAGAGGGAGAGAAACATTTGCTCCAAGGAAAGTGTATTTGAGCTCAGTTCAGTGTGTAACCACACACATTTTAATTTGGACTTTGACCCAGTGGCTTGGCCATAACTGACTGCAGGCTGTTGTCTGGCTGTCTCCAGTTGTTTGCTGTGGAGTTGCCAAGTTTTATTAAGCTTCCCCACTTGGGAATTAAAAACTTGTTTGCATAGTCAGATAAATTGCAGCCAGAGGGATCGTTCCAGCAGCACCTGGCTGGCTAGGTGTTGGGCTCTTCCCTTGGAAAGGAGAGGAAGGGAAGAGACAGCAGCAAGGGATTCCTTTTGGCAGCATGGCAAGCTGATTCCAAGTTCCTCTTGGTGTTTTCTTCACAGGCATAAACACACTGGTGGGTTATGACCTCGTGCCAGAACCAAAAATCATTGATGCGGCTCTGAGGGCCTGCAGGCGGCTAAATGACTTCGCCAGCACTGTCCGCATCCTAGAGGTTGTAAAGGTGGGTGGAGCTGCTGTGTTTGCGCTGCTGGAGCCTGGCAGCAGGAGAGTTTCCCCTGGCTTTTTCCTGCTGCAAGGGGAAAGCTCTTTTTCCTGTTGCCACGATCAATGGCTGTGTGGTGAGCACAAAGCTTGCTGGCTTCTTAAGGGATTGAGTGCTGAGCTGGCTGGGAGTAGTAACTCAGAAAGCTGGGTAAGCCTGGAAAACACCTTAAACCTTGAAACTTGAATCCAGCCTTCTCAGGGAGTTAAGAGGAGCCAGCCCTAAAAGCCAGCAGTTCTCCTCTGCCACAGACCGTGGCTGGTGTGGAGGTTTTAGGGGTGTAAGACCAATGGAAGAATCTTTCTATGCTGAAATAACACCATTCCTTTTTTGTTTAGGACAAGGCAGGACCTCACAAGGAAATCTATCCCTACATTATCCAGGAGCTTAGACCAACTTTGAGTGAACTGGGAATCTCCACTCCAGAGGAACTGGGCCTGGACAAAGCATAAACCTTACTGGTAAGGGATGATGTTGCTTTCCAGACTCTTAGCATGGGATTACTGTACCCCAAAACCCCTGGCAAAGTCAGAATATGGGCAAGACCTGATGTGCTCTAATCCCAGACTAAAATTAACCCCTAAATAAAAATCCTCATGGAAGTGAAGCCTCTTAATTTGTTTTCTTCAACAGATGACCAGTGTCATATTTCTTTTAAAAATACTATGCTTAGAATAGAGATACCATGTGTCAGCCTGCTGCAAATAGTACTTAGTTCTGGATCTTTAAAGTCCTTTCCCTCCTCCTTGCCATGGAATACAATGTCTTGGTGCTAGGGTATACTGAAGCAGCTGTGCTGGGAATGCAGTACCTGCATTTTTGGGCTGAGCATGGTTAAATGGGGTTTTGAGGGTAAAAGGGATAGAAATAAACCATTTGAAACCTAATGGAAACTTTGTAGAGATATTGGGCTGCTTCTTGAATTGTTTTTCTGGTTATTTTATTTTTCTGTTCTTTTCTGTTCCAGGTGCATTACTCAAGTGTTTTACTGATGCTACCTGATTGTACACAGTCACCTGGAGACACAAACCTTAAATCTTATCTGAAATAACTTCTTCCTTTATTGAGTCACAGTGTAAGTGCTGTGGGGTTGGACCTAATAAAGGAAAAGCTGGTTTGACTGATGTTGTAGCTGTGGCTCGTGTGGTTATTTCTTGTTGCTTTTCCAGAGAAAAGGAAGAAGTAAAGCATGAATGTGCCCTTAGGAGTTTATAAATCCTTATTTGCTTGGCCTTCCCGAGCACCTGGCTCTGGGAAAGGGAAGGTGAGGAGCTGTCTGGAGGGCACGATGACCCTCCTGTACACACAGCTTTGGGGAGGGACAGAGTTCTCCCAGCCCTCGGGGAATTTCCCTGGGATGATGTCCAGAGCTTCAGAGGTGAGTGAGAGTCTCCTGTTTGCAAGGGATGTTCCCTCACCGGGAAGGGATCTGATCTGCTCCGGGACAGATGGGTGTTCGGGGGTTTTCCGCCTCGGTTCTGGTACAGGCGGGGGGTTGGTGGGGGAACCGGGGAGGGGCGGGGAAGTCAGGGCTGGGAGAGAAGGGAAATTTCATATTATTTTCACGCTAGACAAGGGGGTTGTTCGGGAAGGCAAGGCTTGGTGCGTTCCCATCGCACGGCAGGGCCGGGCAGGGCAAGACGCCGCGCCGCCCTGCCCGCGCTCCCACCGCGCATGCGCGCCAGAGGGGCGCGTCCCCTGCCCGCCTCCCATTGGCTGAGTCGCACCAGCCCCGGGCTGCCATTGGCTGGCGGTCCGAGGGGCGGGGCCACAGGCGGCCATGGCGACGGGCGGCGGCGGAGCCGGGGCTGGCCCCGCTCCTGGTCCCGCTGCGGGCGGAGCCGGCGCGCTGAGGGGCCCGGCGGTACGGGCGGGGAATGGGGGGCTAATGGGGCTGGGAGTGAGCGTGAGGCAGTATAGGGTATAGTTACGGCGGGTTTGGGTGGTATGCAGCGGGGGGTATAGGGCTGGGGTATGTCTGTGGGGCAGTATGGGGTACGTGCATCATGTGGGGCTGGCGAGTGGGCATGGGGTTGTATGGGGTAAATGCATGGGAGCTATGGGGGTGATGTAGGGCTGGTGTGTGTGGGGGGAGGCAGTATGGGGGGTGGGTATGGGGCTGGAGTGTGTCTGTAGGGGAATACGGGCTGGGGCATTTACACAGAGGGGCGATATGGGAGTAGAGGGGGTGTAAGCACGGAGGCACAGTGCAAGGACGGTGTATCAGCACAGCATGTGTTGTCTAGGAACGGGTATGGCACATCCACAGGGACTCGGGGGTCTGCTGCCTGCCTGGTTATTACCACGATAAGGCTCTGCCCCGCTAATTCCGTCTTAAGACACTGAGGCTAATCCTGACTCTGCTTTCCAATCACCAGCCCAAGTGTTCTGCCTTGTTCCTTTAATTCCCTATCCCTCCTGCACCAACTCTCCTCTGCCCTTTTCTGATAGTCCCTCTATTTTCTCCATTATTTATTATATTTGTGAAACTTTTTTCTTCCCCCTTGCCATTAGGAGTGCTGGCTCTCCTTGACAATACCTGGATAAAAGGAGAAGCTTGATGGCTCAAACCCTGCAGAGAAATTAAAATAAACTATCCTTACATTTTTACTTGATGAACCTGCTCATTAAATCTCCTCCATCACGTGTTTTCCCAAGTATTGCTGGAGCTGGGCTTGCACAGGAACTGCTGGTCACCACACATGCTTTTAATTTAGCATTGCCATTCCCAAGTAATCCCTTCATCTGCAACCAGCTCTGCTTATTGTTTTTCCTCTCCCTCCTCCTGGTCCGGGAGCTGACCTTGAGCTCCCAGGAATGAATGGGTGCTCTGAGATGACTCTGTGTTACTTCATCCCCACGGAGAGATGCTGAATGTGCTTCTTTCTCTTTTTTTTTTTTTTTTTTTTTCTCCTCCCCAGCTGATTTGGGCGGAAAACAAGAGGCTGAACAAGGGGTCGGATACGGTGGAGAAAAGGGGACCGTACATCATGAGCAAACCTCCCTCCATTCAGGCCAAGCTGAGTAAATGATGCTTGGTGGACTCTTCTGGGATTTCGGGAGTTATTTCCACTTCTCTGCTGGGGCGGGAGTCACCAAAAGCCCTTTTATTCCTTGGTGGGATAAAAACCTTTATAAACAAAACCCCCAAAACATTAAAAATTCCATAGTGATGCCTATGGAAAGCACTGCATTGACCCCATTCTCACCTGCAACACCCCCACCACCCAAAAAACAGATCTTGGGGGAACACTTAGGAATTTTTATCTCTGTCCCTGTGCTTGGCTTTCAGAGAGGCAGCGGGAGCTGATGAAAGCAGCTCTGCGAAGGCAGGGGCTGCTGGGGGGACCCGCCACCCTGAAACCGGCGCCTAAAAGGTCTGATCCTCTTTTTCTGTTCCCAAAATGTATTTTTTTGCTTCCCTTGGGGAGGCAGGCTGGGAAATTCAGAGGATTACAAATAGGAATTTGGCACCTTATTCTGACAGCTCTGTTTGGCCAGGAACATCCAGTATAATAAAATATAGGGCTTTTCTGTTTTATTTTGGGGATGATTTGGTGTTATAGATTTATTTGGGTATCTTAGAGCTTAGCTGGTCTTGGCCCTGGATAGTGTATGGCTGGGAACGAGCGGGATTCCTCCCTGGCTCCTTGGTCCATCAGCTCCATGGATGCGTTTCCATGTAAAACATCTTTGCTGGTCTCACTCGGCTGCTTTCTGGCAGGTCAGTGAAGTTTAACAAGGGCTACACTGCGCTCAACCAGACAGCTGATGAGAACCTGGTCTCCCTCGACTCAGACAGGTGAATATTCCACGATTTTTGGGTGATTATCCCAGGATTTCTGGTGGAGGGTGCTCAGAGCTGGCTTTACTTTGGGGATTGATTTTCCTTGTCACTTACAGAGCACTGAGCACCTCTGAGCAGTGAAATGGAGATTATCTCAGCTGGTTTAGAGCATAGTGCTAACAAAACACCAAGGTTGTGGGCTTGATCCCTGAGTGGGCCATTCACTTAAGAGTTATCCGTGATCCTTGTGGGTCCTTTCCAATGCAGAATATTCTGTGAAATTCCTGTGAAATGGTCCTGTTGTCCCAAATTTAACAAATCCCTTGCAGTTAATGCAAGGCTTATTTCCAAGGTTATTTCCTGGCCAGCTGTTTCCTTTTTCCCTCAGTGACGGGGAGCCAGGATCCAGATGTTCCTCGGGATACTCCTCCGCCGAGGCAAGTGCAGGTGTTGGACTCTGACGGTGCGGTCCCCGCGCGCTCCCTTGTTCCCCTCACAGCCTGAGATCCTGGATAGGGGCTGGAAGCACAACCCCACGGGGTGTGGATGCATGTGTCCCACCCCGCAGAGCTCCGCTTTGTCCCCCCACAGCAGGTGAACCAGGACCTGAGCCGGCAGCTGCTGCAGGATGGGTACCACCTCGACGAGGTCCCCGATGATGAAGACCTGGATCTCATTCCCCCAAAACCAGCTGCCTCCTCTTCTTGCCCCTGTTGTTTCGGGGAAAGTCTTTCGTGTGTGATCCAATAGCTGCACAAGAAGAGGTCAAAATCCAGCACTTTCTTTGTCCCACGGGATGGCTGTTGCTCTCTGTGTCCCATGCTGGGATGGTGACACAATGACTGAAATACTCTGCTTATGGCAGAGACCAACTGACCCCAAAGGACTTTTCCTCACACTCAGCAATATCAGGAAGAGGTGATATGGTGACATTTTGGTGGTCTGGATGGGACCTCTCACCTGCTGGGGTGGGAAAGAAGAGGCAGAGCCTGGCACCTCCATGGGGGTGTAAAGGGAAGGAGTTCGGAGGTACTGGGTTTGGAGCTAATGCCTTGTTCCTGTTCTCCCCAGTGCTGCTTTGATGCAGGTGGGGGACTGTCCAGACCCCCCATACCAGATCCACACAGGGTTTGGATGTGGGGGGCTGGGGACTCTGCTGCAAACCTTAAAAGCTGCCTTAAACCATGGTCCTGCTCCACAACCTAGAGGACAATCAGCTTCTTCAATACAGAAACCTTATTTAAATATTTCATGTCTAGAGACCTGAACTATTGGGGTCTGTTTGTTTGTTTGTTTTGTTTGCTTTTGGAGTTTTGCTTTTGTATTTTAATTGTTAAAGGGAGCACTCAATAAACTGGATCTCATAACTTGCAGGCTGTTGGTGCCCTGCTCCACCCAGCAGCCCTGCTCCACAGGGCTTCTTCCCTGACTGGTGGGATTTCAGAGCGATCTGTTTTCCCTCATCGCATTTTACTCGTTTCCTGCTCCCCTGAGGAGCGAGGGGGGTAACAACCCGTGGTGGGAGAGTTACAGCTGGAGCTGCTCCCCGTGTTTCCTCCAGTCCCCCACTCCCATGCTCCTCCTGCTCCTTGCACCACGCTGCCCTGCACTGAGGACAAAGTCACCTCTTTATTCAAGGCATCGGAAGCTTTCCCCCTCCACAAGCCTGCCAAGCAGCCCCCTTTTACAGCCAGGGAAGGGGCGACAGTGGCTGCCATCAGCCAGGCTTGGAAAAGCCCGCCAAAAGCTGCAGAAAGCCCTGTGCCACATCCGAGGAGTCGGTCTATAGAATTGCTCTTTCTATACATCAGGGCTGGGTTTGAGATTTAATAGATGGAGGGGAAACTTCCAAGCGAGATGACTTTGCCAACACCAGTTTCTATCTACTCAAACGTGGAGTGATGGGGAGGAAGTGTTCCACCAGGAGGAGACAGAAGTGTCTCAGAGGAGGCAGCAGGCTCGGAAGAGCAGCATCCCATCCGGCGAGGAGAGGTGGAGGGAGATGCTCTCGTTAGCCGAGATGAAGAGAACGGAGCCACGACACAGAGACATCTCAGAGGCTGCGGCTGTGGAGGTGCCCACAGCTGTCCCCTGGATCACCAGCAAGATGCTGGCAGAGTCCACGGCAGAGATGAGGTACAGCTTGATGGAGGCAGGGATCTGCAAAGGAAAATGTCACTGTGGCTGGAGTCTCCCCCAGCTTCCCTCCTCTACAGAGAGCTGGGAGGGGGTTATCCCCTTTCCCAACCCTTTGCTGCACCTGCAGCAGCCCAAGCCCAGGGGCCTCAGCTTGGCTGAGGACACACAAGACCTGTTCCTCGTTCTCCCTCTGCCCGGAGCTGCTAGAGAAGGTGAACGAGCTCCAGACAGAGGGAACAGGGGAGGGATAAAGAGACAAACATCACATCCCCAAGCATCCCTCCCCCCTTGCTGGGGCACTAACTACACAGGTGAGTGAAGCCTAGCCAGCACTGGGTTGTCCTACCCGGAGCCCAGACGAGAAGTGTCCCCCAACACGGACCTGTCACTGCTCACCTCTATCCTCATGATGGCGAAGTCTGGCACGGGTGGGTCATAGACATAGACGTTGGGATCCAGCTGGCTCTGCACGGCTGGGAAGATCTTGGAGCTGCTGGGTGCCGGTGTGTAGTTGAGCATCTCGCACAAGGTGAGCACGTCGATGAATTTGGGGGTGAGCCCGGCACGCACCGTGTTATCTGAGCACGCCATGCACTCCACGCAGTCTGCAGGGATGAGGCAGTGCTGTCAGCCCACCCCAGCCCTTCCATGTGTCCCCGTGGCCAGTCCTTGCGGGATGGTGGGTTAGGAGGGCCCCGCGTGACACTCACCTCCACGCAGGTAGGCATGGGGCTCATTGGCTCCAAGGAACATGGCCTCCCCTGGCTCCAGCTTCACCAGGTTCAGGAAATAAATGGTGAAGCAGCCAATGTCTCCTGGGTACTGGGAGTGCAGCCGCAGCAGCAGTTCCCCATTGCTCCCTGACGTGTCCTTCCCTTCCTCCGCTGCGTGAGAAGAGACCAGGCACAACATGGGAAGGGAGCCAGGTGTGCCCTGGCCCCACCCTACACACAGTCCCCCCCAAATTGCTCTGGGGGCCACAGCTAGGACCCACCTTCCTGGGAGATCCTCTTCACCAGCATGTTCAGCTGGTCAACAAAGAACTTCTTCTCGCTCTTCATGAGGCGGGTGAAGCACACACGGAGAGCGGCCGACACACCGCGGGGGTCGTCGCTCCCACTGCGCTCCAGCTGCTCCGCTGCCACCTCCCCGATCAGCGCCCGCAGCTCGGGGACGTCTGTGAGGGGCCAGCCCCAGTCAGATCAGCACCCCCATCCCAGAGGAGCACAGCCCCCATCCCCGCCCCAAACCGCATCCTGGGGGAGCAGTGCCCTCACCCTTAAGTGAACTCCATTTTAGTGGAGCACATCCCCTGTCCCCACACCAAACTCCATCCTCACCCTGAGCCCCATCCCAAGGGAGCATGGCCACCACTCCCACCTTGAACCCCATCCCAAGGGAGCATAGCCCTCATCCCCACCCCAAACTCCACTGCAGGGGAGCGTGGCTCCCATCCCCACCCTGGGGTCTGACTGCGCACTCTTCATCCTTACTCTGGAGGAAGGAGACAATCTCCTCCACAGGCCGGAAGCCACACAAGCCCTCGAAGGGGGTGAGGGCGATGGCCATTTCAGGCTTGTGGTTGGCATCGGGATAGTGCTCAGGAAACTGGGCGTGCAGCTTTGCTGCCAGCTCCTGGAGAGGGGGAGAGAAGCTGAGTGACATCCCCAGGGACATGGGGTCCCGCCGGGCTGCCCATCTGGGGCTCTCCCTACCTTGTTGGGGTGTGCCTGGATAGAGAGGGCAGTATTGACCGAGAGCACCTTGAAGAGGAAGGGCAGCTGTCCCTGGAAGGTGTCCTTCACCTTTGTCCCCAGGCAGGCGGGGTTGTCGGCGATCCACTGGCCCAGGGTTTTTTGGGGGATGCGGTTGTCCCGGATGATGGCATCGCCCCGGGGATGTGCACCCATCCAGAGCTGTGAGACACAGACAGACTGAGGGAACCTTGAGCTGGGCAGTCAACACGGATGACTTGGGCTTTTTTAGAGGCTGCTTGGCCCCACAGGTGATCCACGCAGCCGAGGCAGCTCCCTCGGAGGCTGAATCACGCCAGGCTTCTCCTCTTCAACCCCCCAGGAGGACGGGGGGCGGGTCAGGATACCGTTTCGATGGGATACAGGATGGTGCGAGCCACGGCGGGGTGGGTGGGACATAGGGGTGTGACAGACACGCGAACGGGATGGACATACAGATGCACTCACCTCAGCGTAGGGCCGGTCAGGCTGGATCTGGACCAGGGGGTCACCACTGGTCAGCAGCTTGGCTACCTCGCTCTCCAGGCCCACCTTCCCCCAGGAATAGTTCTGCACCACGCAGGAGAGGGGGAACACTACGGGAGAGTAGTAAAATGTTAGACGGGGAACAGAAATAACCCCCAAACCCCTTCCAGACACTGCCAAAGCCCCCAGCGGAGGGTGAGAGGGCATCAGGCAGATAGGGGACTTAGCGCCTGGGAGGGCAGAGTGTATGGGGGGGGCGATTTTCAATCATCATATGGCGATCTCGGGATGCTCGGGCTGCGGGCAGGGGTCACGGTTCCTCTGTCCCATCGTCCTGGGGGGATTCCCAGGGGTGTTCCCCAGTGCCCCGCTCACCCCGGATCTCCGCCATGGCTCGGCCGGGCAGGTCTGTCCCCTTTTCCCTTCCCCCTCCTGCCCTCACCCCCCCAACCCCCCCCCGGCTATAAGCGACACTCTGACGTCACGCGGCCACGCCCATAGGGTTAACACCGCGCGAGGTACATGCGCCGCTGTGACGTCACGCGACTCTCTCCGGTCACGCGGGTGCCCCGGAAGCGCCAGGAGCGGCGGCGGCGGCGGCGGCGGTGGTGGGAGCGGAGTGGACCGCGCCTATGTCGGGCTTCGACACCAACCCGTTCGCCGACCCGGTGGACATCAACCCATTCCAGGTGGGGCGCGATGCGCGGGCGGACCCCAACCCTCCTCACTCGGCCCGGCCCGGGCCCCCCCCGGGTCCCCGCCCGGGTCCCCGCCCGCCGCCGCCGGGACGTGGCACTGACTGAAGCGCCGCTGGCCAATGGCGGGGCCGCTTCTCTGCGTCCCGGCCAATCAGCGAGAGGGGGCGGGTCCCCCGCGCCCTGAGGGCGGTCTGGGCGCACCCTCCCGCCCCAGCTCCGGCCGGGACGGGGGTCCCGATCCCTCCGTTATGCCCCGGCCGGAGGGAGCCACGGGTCCCGCTTCTCCTCCCTGCACACCCCTCCGGCCGGGGCAGGGGTCCCGAGCCCCTCCTCCGGCCAGGACAAAGGGTCCCACTTCCACTCGCCGTGTTTCCTGTCCAGCCAGGGCTGGGGGTCCCGCAGCTCCTCCCGGGTCCCCCGCAGATCACGCAGGAGCGCTGTGACCCACTCGGGATCTCCCCCGGCTCTGCCCACTGCCGCTGGGATCCTTCCCACTGCCACTTCCTCGGAGCCCCCATCTCTTCCCCGTCCTGTGCTGCCAGACCCGCTCACCCCTCGCCTCCCCGGGCCGTGGGGAGGGGTTTTGCTGCCTCTCAGGATACCAAAACAGCCGTGAATAAGCCTTAATTTATGGGCTTATTAAAAATAATCAGTTGCTGAACCTCTCCTGGGTGTGCTGTCTGCTGGTTCTTTCTGGGTCTGTTTTTTAAGGCACTTCAGCTCTAAACAGTTGAGTCCCTAAGGCATGGTTTGACTGAGGATTTCAGGGCCCAAAGCATGGGATTCCTGTTGAGGACACTGAGGACTTGGTCTGTGTTCACTGAGTTTCTCCTCTCTGGGTTAACCTCCGTGCTCTGAAAATAGGTCATTTATGCAGGGATTTGGCCTGGAGTGGCCTCTGGGACCTGGAGCCTGTGCAGGGATGTGTGACAATGAGTGTCTGGCCTTTGGCTCCTATCTGTGAGCTTAGCCTCACCTTTACTGCTTGGCTGAGATGTGATCCCCCTGGAAGGAATGATTCCTGACCTCGGATTTCAGGGCCAAGCCAAACGGAAACTGTTTGTTTAGGAGGCTGAGTGTTTTGAGGAATCAGGGTGAAAAAATCCTTTTCTTCCTCGCTTTCATTTTAGCACGCTCTCGTGAGTCTCATGAATGGGAAGGGTTGGGATAACCCTGTTTCTGTGATATTCCTTCCGTGGGGTGGAATATATTGCTGTTCATGTCAGCATTTGTTGCTTTTGCATTGAGGAAGTCAATATTCATAGAATCACAGAATGTTTTGGGTTGCAAGGGACCTTAAAGCTGGGCA